ATATGAATACAGTTGATAATGTATTTGTTTCCATAGGTTTAATTTATCATTATTTAAATCACATGAAGTCATTATGTGCAATATGTATACATTTTACAAATGTTTTTCACGATGCTGTTAGAGAGAACATATCGTCACCTTAGTGCAAGAACTCAATATCTGCTTCTTTATCTATATGCAGTTATTGAGTTTTTGCACTAAGGTGACGATATTTAAATATTTAAGTTTAAAGATACTCTTATTGTTATACGCCCCTAACTGCTACGGATTGGAATCCCGAAGGACTTTGGATCTTTCATGTGAGTTAGCTATCCAACAGAACGTCGGTCGTTCTACTCAGGTGCCCATTCGTGCTGAAAATACTGCAACTTTAATGTGCTGCTGCGACGTTAAACCCAACAACAACAAAAAAAAATTACAAAGAAATATAGATATATACAATATTATACAATAACTGTTTCACAGTGATGGAAATAAAAGTATATGTAAGCAAATAAGATAATATAAATTCAAAGAAAATTTGGTGGGTAAGGTTGTGCTGTAAGATGAAATGATGTGTATAATATGCAAAATGTTGCAAAATTGATAGTACTTTGTAAATGAAATATAGATTTCAGGTAAAAAGAAAACCACTTAAACAAACACTTTGAGTTGCAAAATAAATAACGTTTTGAGTAGTAGAACACATTAAAAAATTGTTCTTGGCTGATAATTGACAACTTGCGTGTAAACACCAGAACGTATTTTCTTTAATCATTATATAAATTGAATTTAATAAATGTAAAGTTTTACCAATAAAAAAGTAAAGGTACGAAGCTAGTTTTTAAAATTGAAATTATAAAAAGCAGTTGTTTTGATTTTTACAATTTTATGATTCTACCCAAAGTCCTATTATCACCGCATTGTTTGTTTATTCAATTTATATTCATGAGGCTCTGCTTAAAGATGTCCCCTGTTTCTTTAAAGTAGTGTCATTTAAAATTGATAGCAATTAGTATAAACGAACACTATTGATTATGCATAAGTTCTAAATTAAATACAAAACTTTCTTTAATAACATAGGAACTATATTTTGAAATACTTAGCCTAGGTGTTCACTTACCTACGTCTCTTCATAATTTTTTAAAATCAATTCTTTCATAGTTTGCTTTTCTTCTTTATATGGTTACAATTCAAATTACTTCTTTTGTTCCTAGTTTATAGCCTTAATAAACATGAGTCTTTATTTGTTTTGATAATATACTTTAATTGAACGTCTCATTTAATGTATAATTTTACAACTATAATGAATTGATATGAGGTTAAAAACCAATTACTGTGTCCAATATTTAGTCACATTAACAACTACACGTATATACGATCTGATTATTTACAAAGATATAAAAAGTTTCCAATAAAAACAAACAGTTAAAGAAATGTTCATCATGCTGTCAGTCCTTTATTTCCAACTATAAAGATAAACCGGGTGGAATCCCTTTCATATCTAATTTTCCCCGGATTTTAGTGTTGATCAAGGTCTTTCAAATTTCTATTTGAAAAACCCTGTGTTGACGAAATGAGCAAATGAAACGGAAATTTCTTTTGATGTAAGTCATGCAAAAAGCATTACCGTATATGAATTGACAATATCACATCAAAATGGTATATTTTATAACTGCAAAATGAAATTGAATCAATATAAATATTATGAGAAATATTGCAACAGCAAGAATGAAAATGAATTTACCAAAGCGACAGTTTCACGTCAATTTTCATTTCATTGAGGAGCATTAAAATTCTATACGTTAACCTGAAACATAAAATTGTTTTGATTTAATTAGTTGATGTCATGTTAAAAAAACCTAGCATATTTTAGAGTGAAATGTTTTTTGTTTGTTTTTGTGTTTTTCTTTTTATTATGTTTTACGTATGTGCCGATAGTGATATCAGGTATAATTTAAGTTGTTGAATGACTAAAATGATACAAAAGGACATGATTAAATTAGATTAGATAGATATATAATAACAATAATGTTTTTTTTTATACAGGGTAAAGAAACATCATTACTACAACTAAGGTTGATCATAGTAAATTGTAGCTTATTAATAGGATATGTAAGAAAAAAGAATTTGGCTTATCAAAAATACTATAGGTTCGGCTTCATTAGTATTTTTAGTATTATTTTTTAGTATTATTAGTATTTAAATTAAAAAAAAAACAACAAAAAAAGAGAAAAATAAGAAGAACCTCCAAACTGATACAATTTATAATTCGTAACAAAATCAAGCAGGTAGTATTTCCAGTACAAGCGGACATGCCACGCAAAAATATTAAGGCCATATTTCTTAGGCTAGAGCCCTTGCTGTAAGTGAGAACCTGTAAACTAAAATAATTTGAAATGCGCAACGAAATCACAAAAATGGTGTTTAAACGACGGTTGGCACCAGAAAATGATAATTTTTACGGAAAATACAATGTAGAACATTAAAAATCACTCAACAGTTCGTATCATAAATGTTTCAGTATATATGTATATGACAATTTTTTGAAAAGGTTTACATAACTGAATCCTGTAAGCTTATTTTATAATAATTTATACCCGGACCATTTTGAAGAAACATAAGCCTTGCTCAACCTGTATATACATTATACTCCCTAAGTTTAAAAATTGAACATTGATGCCAAATCTCTGTCGAATGTTTCACAAAATATCATACATGTTGACTTATTTATGAATTGCAAAGTCAATATTTATAACCATTTTGTTGTTGTAGTACTCCGTTAAACCGATTAAGGATGTTGCATTGCAGGTTAATTAATCATACATAAGTTATGTAAATGAATAAAGAACACAGTTTTACAATATACTTTTATACTCTTAACATGACATATTATATTACAATTTACGAAAACAACATGGACAAATGTCCAAATGTCAAAAATGATAGATAATGTATTTTGGAGTCGGCTAGATTATACGTATTTCATAACATTACATTTTATGTGAAAAGCTGTCATTATAAATACTGGTCTAAAAGCCCAGTCTAGAGAGTTCGAATTTGGGAGTTGACCAGAGCAGTTATATACATTAAAGTATTAAAATGTGAAAGTCAGTTTTGCGTTTCTTAATCATCCACTATACAACAAGGATAAAATTTCTTTCTGATCACTACACCAATTATTTGAACATTAACTATAATCCATTTCAAATATTTTCCATGTTAGACGATTTTCATTGAATGAAAGAAGTCTATTCCAGTAACGGATAATATTAATCACTTGCTAGTATAGAAACAAATCATGTTTGGAAAAACATTTTCGTTTCTGAAGATGTCATTCAATACAGTGTAAATCAAGGAGTAAAGTGGTCCTTTAATGTCGAACTTGGCCCATGGATGGGAGGATTTTACGAACGACTTGTAGGTTTGGTTAAACGATCCTTACCAACTTATCACAGTTTTAAAAGAAGTAGAAGCCGTAGTAATTTCAAGATCTCTAGTATATGTTGGTGATGATATTGATTCAACAATTGTTATAATGCCAGCATATTTTCTTGGATTAAACCCCTATACAGGAATCACTAATACAATTGACGAAGAAAGTGATCCCAATTTTAAACCAACAAAAACATCTTCACAAACTATATTTAGAATCTGGAAAAATGGAAATAAACTTTTATATTAGTTTTGGTCAATACCGACAGTGGAATATTTATCAAGTTTAAGAGAAAGGCTTCAGATACATCACAAACCATTGAAAAATAGTTCAAACGTGGTGCCTACGGTTGGAAGTGTTGTGCTTATAAAAGAAAATTACCTCGGGGAATGTGGAAATTAGGAAAAATAACAAAATTAATCGCCGGAAAAGATGGACTTATAAGATCAGCAAAGGTTAAAACTTCATCCGGTAAAATACTAGGACGTCCATTGTCTTTACTGTATCCAATAGAAATGTCAGAAACAGATGTTAATTCTATTGAAAACGATTTTCAAAATATAACATGCCAAACTGTTGAAAATAATAAACAACAAAGACGCGCTGCTGCAATAGCAGAAAGCAGAATAAAACAAGTGTATAGTATCAAAAGTGATAACGAAGTTTAAACTTTGTTTGGGAGACGGTCACTTTGTGTGATATATCATTAAGTTATGTGATCTTAAAAAAAATGTTATATTTGTTTCAATGCTTAAAGAATTGAAATCAGTGTATACAAAAGTGAATGCATTGCTTTTCATTCATATGTGGAAACAATGTATTAATGCATAATGTGAAATTAAGCATTTAACCTGTACATATTGTATAAAATGTGTTTCAATTGTGTGTTTTATAATATTCAGTTGAAAATTAAAAGGTGAACTAATTCACTTATTGTGCGTGTTTATTGTACTTAATTAACTATTGTGTGAATAGTTACGTTAATATGAAATAAGTATTATATATTATATAATTGAAAAACTATGCTTTGTAAGTTAGTGATTTGTTTCATAAATAAGAAACAAAACAATTTAAATAAAATGTTGTGTGCATTTTTCTTATGTTTACTTTTCAATTGATATATGTTTTAAACAATAAGTGAAATAAAATTAAAGCAGTTATGTTTTACTATACATCGCTCAGGAGTTTATATCTATACATAACAAAATACAGTAGTTTAAATTTACTACACAGGTAACACAGGAATTTAGATATACCTTAACAGGTAGTAGTACATAACCATGAAATTCATGAAAAAATCGTGTCTTTAAGGGGATATACTACTATATGAACAGCTGATACATTGCTTATTTTTATCTGTGAGTCGAGTAATAATAAGAGAAAATTGTGAAAAAATTCCCCTAAAGCAAGAAATTTTAAAAGACATGTAGCAGAACAACATGGTAGTAGTAGAATATTTATATGCTATGTGGATACATGCAACACAACCTTTAAAAGAAAAAGCAATTTAACTCAACATCAAGAAAAGAAACACCATTTTAGTAAAGAAGACGCCAGATCAACATGTATCAAGGTGAAACCAAAAATGCCAAGTTTTATCTCAAATGGATTTTATTCGGACATAAGTCACAATTATAGTGACGTAAGTTCTGATGACGAGGTTCTAGACTTAGTTCAAGAGTTAGACAGCTATCTTGATACTTACATACCGGAAGATGTTTCTAATACCTTTATTGACGATCTGCTAGATGCAACAGGAAACTCAACGGGAGATTTACAACAGTCAGTCAATAAGACCATTTCACAAAGAAGACATCTGAGACGATAACTACTTATACTTCCCAAGATGAGACGCCGCTGTTGTCCAAGGAAGTTACTCATGATGACGTTACCAAGCAACATTAGAAAATTGTTGAAAAAGACCTTTTACAATCTACAGTCACAAGATCCATATTGGTGTACTTCCCATTTATTGTATTTGCTTAAATTGTTGGCGGGAGTGTCGCAAATTTGCGAATTTTTTGCAAGTTAAACATGTTTTGATTTATTAGATATTTTTGTAATTTCATAACTTTTTATAGCAAAGTTAAATTGAACTACTTTTTATTTGAAAAACAGACCAATAGTGGTAAATTTTAGAAACTATTGTGATACTGAGTACATCTTGAGTAAAAGATACCTCCTTTTCAATCAGTGTTGACCTACCACAAGAGATCCAGCAGGCCCGATATCGCCCATGGCCTAGATATAAACAGTGCAAACAGGAAAATCCTAGGTCAAAAGTAACAATCGTTTACCCAGCTAAATTAATACTGGATAGTAGGCTAGTGAATGATGAAATGCCCGAATGGCAACGATATATAAATGCTAGTAGGTTGTCAAGTATCGAACACGTTGGTAGACTGAACGACCAAACAACAAGCCAATTAGACGAGCCATCGTATCAGAGTCAGCATGATCCCCAAAATGGAAAAGGGCCGGAACACCCGGATACAATCGCATTTAGCCAACAACAAACTGGTGACGTCATGCAAAGACAATACAATACATGCAACTTACCTGCATTAAATGACTCATTTAATGGCCCTCAGTATAGTATCCCATTATCCTCACAAAAAGAACAAAATCCTATTTCTCAAATGAATAGCACATGTAGTAACACTGTAATCAATTCTACATGTCCGAACACAATACACAGCCAACCAATGTATAGTCACGATAACCCAAATGTTCACCAATCTGAATCACACACAAATCAAAACAATAACAAATCACAATCACATCAAACTACAAGCAATAATAACAGTAAAAATTCTGCTCAAAGTCAGTCAGATATGCCTGCAGTGTACTTTAACCTCGATACACAATCCGTAGAAACATACGCCAGTGTCACATCCCCCAAATATGGAGCTGTTACATCTAGGTCATCCATAACAAACAATAACACGCTAGGAAATAGCGGCGATAAACAAGTTATACCTGAGAGGGGGCGTGCACGAAATATTCGTGCGGCGTCTAGGTCGGAAAAGCGTGTCGAGTCGGCCAGTCCACACAGAAGACAAAACAGGATTTCCCCAGTTTCTATTAATAGAAATGACAGCACGAGCAAGAACGATAAACGATTAGGTCAATACTATGTGAAGGAGAAGGTACCACTACGGTTTGTGCTACTTAATATACAGGGTATCGCTACAAAAAGAACAAATAAATTAAATTCGCCTGAAATTAGAAATATTTTTGAAAATAATGACATTGTTTTATTCAGTGAAACATGGACAGATGAGTAATCTGACTTAAATGTTCACAATGTCGAATATTTCGCCTTAAATAGAAATGAGATTACACAAAACAGTAAAAGGTCGTCTGGTGGAATTATTATTTATGTAAGAAATAAATATGTTTCAAGTGATACATTTGTTTTTTTTAAAGTAGTGATGACATTTTATGTATAAAAATCGAGGGTTCAAAATTGTCTCTTGAAAATGATCTTTTCATATGTATGTGCTACGTTGTTCCGGACGATAGCAGTCGATTATTGACTCTAATATTTTTGACAGACTGATTGATTTTATTTCTCTGATTGATTCAAAACATGAAAGTAACTTTAATTCACTGTTTTGTGGTGACATGAATGCACGTACTTCCGACAAACCAGATTTTGTTGTAGATGATAATTTTCAAAACGTACAATTTTTGCCTGGATAAACAGTTAAAGAGTTATTCTCAGGACAAAGGCCGAATGAATAATAATGATGTTTTATTATTAGATTTGTGTAAACAGACTGGGTTAGTAAATGGTCTGGTAGGAAATGACAATCTAAAGGGTCAATATACATTCGTCGGGCATGGAGGTTGTAGTTTAGTAGATTATGTAATAGGATCACAAAATTTGTTTAGTTATGTTAAAAGCTTTGAAGTATCGGACCCAAACATATTATCTGATCATTGTGTTGTATCTCTTTCATTTGAATTTGACAAACCGTATGATTGTAGAAATGACTGTATGTATGAATCTGCAAATTATAAATATGTATGGTCAATTGACCGTAAAAATGATTTTGTAAAAGGTGTGTCGTCTGCTGATTTCGTACATAAAATAAATAGTTTTAATGAAAATGTTTATTTGGCTCGAAATATTCAGGATATTGATAAAAGCGTTAGTTATTTGTCAGAATTATTGGAAGTTTCTCCATTGTTCAAGAAAGATATCAAACAAAATGAAAATATAGATGTATCAAAGTACGAAAATAGTTGGTTTAGTGAGGAATGTCATGAGAAGAAAATAATTTTTAATAATATGTTAAATAGGTACAGAGAAAATAAAAGTGATGAAAAATGAATAAACTTATTAAATGCAAGGTCACAATATAAATCCTGTATAAGAAAAAGCAAATACGAATATGACAAAATGGAAACAATGAAATTAACAAAGGCCAGGTATAAAAATGCAAAATTGTATTGGAATATGTTAAAAAAGAATGCAGGTATTAAACACTCAAATGTGCAATTGGATGCTTTTGAAAAATACTTTAAATCTGTAAACAACCCACAACAGGGGTTCGAACGTATAGTGGTGCGATACACTTTTAAGCGAGGGGAAATCATACGATACGGACTAATGGCGGATTTATTCGTGTAAACACACGTCAGAGTGAGTGTATTTCATAAATTATTTTATAAATCATCGAATACAATTGCATATTTTGTATTGAAGATGTGGAAAAGGGACCGACACACATTTCGTCAAAAATACAGAGGCTTAAATTCGTAATTAAAAAGTTATTGAAGTAAAACTGACGGCAACTGATTTTGTGCAGGTGAATAAAATCGCTAAAAGCAAGCTTATATTACTATAGTTAATTTCTTTTTCTTCTTTATTCAATAAGGGTAATTATAATTGAGTTGCATAGCAAGTATCTTTGTGCTCCGATATACATAGGAACTTACTTGTCAAAATATTTAAGTGTACGCTTGATTTTGGTTCGATAAAATAACTGTACGCTGTTAAAAGTTCGATATTTTTTTTAATTATCACATCTGTTGTACATCTTTCCCTATGATTACACTAAATCTTCCATACATGTATATGTGTCCATTTCCGCCTTTTTGAAAATTTTTTTTTTATATCTTCTTCTTTCCTTAAGGATTTACTTCAAATAAGCGTTTAGTATCACTATCTATATAAGTGTTACTATTTTAACTAACTTTTAATAGTTAAATATCTACCTGTGGTAATAAGGAGTTGGAAAAAGTAACCTTTACTCTTAGATCTCAGATAACTATATTTCTTGTTATCTCTCAATTTTTAACAACGTTCATAGTTACTGTATCTTCATTCCAAAAATGTGTCGCCCTTTTTAACAAGAGTCTTGCTTTTTTAACAAAATTACTTGGCAGTTTGTTAGAGATTTACATCCTTCATCTGAGGAAATCAGACTTTACATAAAAACAAACATTTAAGGAATTATGACAGCTTAAAGTCAAGATTAAAATGATTGTTTACAAATAATTACAGCTAAAGTGTCACGAATTATGATTTCTTACACATTAAGCACCAGCAGCTAATACCATTGGTATAACCTGTATAAATGAGCTCAAGTGTTTTGTTTAAAATTCAATGCACTGTTAATCTTTTATTGTATGCCTTAGTAGTTAGAGTCAACAACTGGTACTGGATACCACAACTCACAGATGAAGTAAAATACATGTAGGTAAGTTTTCTTAATAAATAATTGTTACACAATTCACAGTTAAGTTAATGATCATTACCCCCTTGTTCTTATGGCTAAATTTCTGTTGCCATTCATTTAACACCAGTTAAAATTTTAAGATTAACATATTAATTATCACCAGTAGTATAACACAGAACACTTAAGTCACTAAACATTTTCTTGTAAGAAATATTCAATGTGATTACATGCACCTAAAACAATATAAATACAATGATCTCAAATGACTAGAATATGCCACTTTAAAGTTAATACTTTTATAATGTCAATGAATATCACATAGTTTATACACTTCGTCTATTTATCATTAATTGCAACATAACAGTATATCGTCGGCGGTCTTTTAAAACCTCGTAAGTGCAATTTCGCCAAAACTTGTTTTTTCGGCTTATTATAATCAATTTTAATTCTCGCTTATTTTGCAAAAGTACCCGTGGTTATAGCCAATCAGAAACGTTATTTATTCACACGTGATAAAATCACGTATATTGATTGGATCAAATTTTGTTCTTCTAAAACCACATAACTGCAGAGAATTTTGCAAACCGGAGGAAGTCTCAGAAAACTCTAGAAAAACTCCAAGAAACGTCTACAAAAAGGCAAGTATGTTATATATTAGTCCATGTTTTTTCATATTTCATAATAAGATTACTATATATATGCAATTAAAATGAGAAAATCGACTTTAATTTTGCAAATAAAGAAACAGACTGCATTAAAACGTATTTACTCTTACTAAAATGAACAACGGAATTTTTCCTTTCCAACTGTTATATTTGATAGAATAAAATACTGTTTCTAAAATTAGAAATGTGCAAACTTACTCTAAATGTTAGTTTTAATATGATTTATGCATATTGTATAGACTATATTTTATTTACTTTTGTCAGTTACGAGATTTTAGAACTTAACAGGAGTCGGAATGACATCAAAATCATTCTATGTTATTGATAGTTTGCGCTCAAGGTTATTTGGGTAGATAGTTTATTACGTAAATTTAACTATTTTAAATGACGTCATTTTATGTATTTTAAACACTACACTTATACCGTACATAGCACAAACATAATTATACACAGTGTCTCTAAATTCAGGAATATAAATGTATATTTCTTGTTTTTAAAGCTGGTAAGTCTTTTAAAAATTTCTCATTTCATCAGACATATAATTTACTATAACTTGAAGTAACGCAACTATGAAAATTTATGAAAGCAGACCCGAATTGATTAAGATTGTTTTTGTCCTTGGACATTAAGGCGAAATTATTCTAAATAATATAAAACATAATATAAGTATTGTATATAATAGTAGATAACAAAATATTTTCCATTATTTTCAGCTATCTTAACTTGTCATGTCAGGAGATAGTGACACAGAATCAACATAAGAAACGCAACTTCTTGAATATACCAATATAAGCCGGATACAAACGTCCTTATACATGTACATATGTTGCAACAGATTATTGAAGTTGGACCTTATTTGATTACTCTACCAAACGGACGATATTTCGTAAGGTGCCTTTTTGATGATCGCTCAATATACTTTCACTTAACATGCATTCATCCAACGTTCCCAGACGAGGCACTTAGCTACTCACATCTTAACGATTTACAAGAAAACGGTATTAACTGCAACTTTTAAAGAAACCTGGTCGCACTACAGCTAATCATTAAACATGGCTACTAAGCGTAGATACATGGTGCAGCTAGCTCTTGAAAAAATCATACAGAGAAAACTGGTTAAGACAGACTGCAATGATGAAAGCTTAGAGGAAACAAATGAGTCCCCTAATGATTCTGAAAAAGATCACTTAAACTCCAGTGGGAGAAACGACAAAACTATTTCTAATAGGACAGCTGAATATAACTCCCATGGTGAAGCTGATCAAAATTCAAGCCACATTACTTTACAAATTCAAGGAACAGAAATAAAAGTAATTGACAATGCTAATGGTCCACAAAAAGTAATAACGGAAAACATAGATGAAGAAACTAATCTAGATGATGTCATAAATAAGAAAGTTGGTTAAGACATTAATAACAATGAAGATTCTGATAGCCACACAAGTACTTTAGATGAAATGGAAGAAAAATTTTATGACTATGATGGTGATGTTACAGACAAAGACTGGGAACCACCACAGACAAGAAACCAACAGTATGACAGTGATGAGAATATTGATTACAGTGAAGAACAAAATCTGTATCAGACTACTTCACAGGTAAACAATGAAAATACAAAAATTGTCGAGGAAGGTGAAACTGTCGTATTTGAAAATATAGATCATTAAGAGATTGTTGATACAGATTTAAACTCAAATATACGTAAAGTAAAGTAAGATCGAAAAAAGGAGAAGCCAAGGTAAGTTCTTGGGAAAAAATGTTCGAAAGAACCTTAGAATGAACGGGAAAAATTACAAAGGCTAGGCAAGAAATGAACACGGGACACATGTGTTTTGCAAGGAAAGAAATGAACGAATGATGTCTGAAAGAACATATTCTAAACGATGTGAAAAATCACTCCGTTGTACCACTATAAGCGAAAATCAAAGACAACAGATATTCAATAGTTTCTGGAAAAATATGAAATGGCAAGAAAAAAAGATGTATGTAGTAGGTTTGGTGGATGTGTGTATCCCCAAGAGGCGTACGGGAGAAGCTGGGGGACGCAGAAAACATACTTTTAAATACAACCTAAAGTTTGGAGAGACACGGGTTCCAGTCTGCAAGAACATGTTTATATAAACTCTGGGTATTGGCGAATATATGGTATATAATTGGGTGGATCGGGTTAATATAACCGGGATACCAGATGAAAGCCGTGGAAAAAAGATTCGCCAGCTAGAGCACACGTAGAGGCGTTTTTAGCTAATTCACCAAAGATGCCATCACATTATTGTCGGTCCAGTTCTATGAAACAATATATCGAACCAGTCTTCAATACGGTGATGGATCTATATAGAGTTTACCAACAGGACTGTCGTAACAATGATAAAAATATCGTAGGTATTAAAACCTTCAAGAAAGTATTCAATTGTTTGAATCTTTCAATTTTTAAGCCGCGTAAAGATCAATGCGACACTTGTTGTTCTTATGAAACTAAAAATCTCTCAGAAGAGGAATACAGATTGCACATTGAAAGAAAAGATGAAGCTAGGAAAGAGAAAGAGAAGGATAAAGATATAGCATTAGTAGACAATAAACTTAAAGTCATCACAATTGATACGCAGGCAGTCTTGCTCTGCCCACGTCTGTAGGCCAGTGCCCTATACTATAAAACGAAGTTGGCATGCCATAACTACACACTTTACGATGTAGCAACTAAACACGTCACGTGCTATTTTTGGCACGAGGGAGAGTATGGGCAAACAGCCGACGCTTTTGCAAGCTGTATTTATGACCATCTAAGCAACTTGTTAAAACCTGGTTTAGAACAAATTGTAGTTTACAGTGACGGATGTGGGTACCAAAACCGAAATGTTACACTAGCTAATACATTGCTGTTATTTGCAATCAAACATAAAATAGTTATTACGCAGAAATTTCTTGAAAAGGGCCACACCCAGATGGAGGTGGACAACGTCCACAGTATGATCGAACGAAGGTTGCGTAAAAGAAATATATATATTCCTCAAAATTATGTAGAATGTATTGGAGAAGCTAGAGTGTCGCAACCATACGAAGTGAAATATCTGGCTTTCGACTTCTTTAAATCATACAGTTCTCTGAACTATTCTAGTTCGATCAGACCTGGAAGCAGTAAGGGTGACCCAGTCGTAACAGATCTTAAGGTGATGAAGTACTCTCCATCAGGACAGATACAATATAAACTAAGTTATAACAAAGAGTTCATTGATATGCCACGTCGCGCAACGCGAACCGCTATACCAAATGTTGAAGCGTAGGCAAAGCAGCCACTGGACCACCGTCTATCAAAGCTACAAAGTATACGCATCTATAACAATTGAAGACCGAGATACCAAAAGATTATCATAGTTTTTATGACAATCTCAAGCACGATAACTGACATACGATTCAAATATACATTGAAGCACGTATGCTTAATTGCAATAAGTTGTTGTACTTATTCATTATCCCTCATGTACAGACTCAATCAAACCGAGTCTGCAATTCTTATGTTATTTTGTTGTGATTTATGCTTCCGAGGGATCAGTATGTTTCCAGAATTTTGTACTTCACAACAGCAGGTGTCAAGTGCTGTGTGGCAGCCGTAAAAAGTTGCCCCGTACTTCACTTCAGTGTTGTTATGTTTTCTGGATTTATCTTTTGTTATGTTTTCTGGTCCTTCGGGATCATTGATGCCAACACTATACAGTGTTGAGAATTGAGTACCGCTCAAGCCGGTGCTAAGGGGCGTGAGGGATGTTGCACTTATTCATTATCCCTCATGTACAGACTCAATCAAACCGAGTCTGCTATTCTTATGTTATTTTGTTGTGATTTATGCTTCCAAGGGATCACTTTTTTTTCCAGAATTTTGTACTTCACAACAGTAGGTGTCAAGTGCTGTGTGGCAGCCGTAAAAAGTTGGCTGTTGCCCCGTACTTCACTTCAGTGTTGTTATATTTTCTGGTCCTTCGGGATCATTGATGCCAACACTATAAAGTATTGAGAATTGAGTGCCGCTCAAGCCGGTGTTAGGGGGCGTGAGGGATGTTGTACTTTTTCATTATCCTTCATGTACAGACTCAATCAAACCGAGTCTGCAATTCTTATGTTATTTTGTTGTGATTAATGCTTCCGATGGATCACTTTGTTTCCAGAATTTTATATTGAGTAAAGTAACTGAAATACAAAATCATAATTGATTGTGATGCACACTAGATAATACAAATGTTAAAAGCATTATTTAGTGACATGAACTTTGCATAATATGTAAGTTTAATTGTTGTTGGGTTTTTTTATTGTTAAAGTTAAATTTATTAAATGATAATCGTACCAAAGTATGTATGTAAATGGTCCAACTGTTGTTCGCACCCAGCTAACTAGGAGTCATCAGATGACATTTACCTTGACATCATTGTTCAAGTTTCATTTTGTTTAATATGTTTAAATGGTCCAATGAACACTGTGTCTTTACCAGTTTTTTCCATTTTCTTCAAGGTAAATGAATTAAATGATAATCATAATGTATTATATGTTGAAATATTCCAAAGAACGTTGCATCTTTGACATTTTTTCGTTGTTCATGTTACATTTCCTTTTATATTAAGAAAAAAAATATTAGTATTCGTATCGTATTAAATGTTTGAAAGGTCCAACTGTTGTTTGATTTAAAAAAACCCTAAAATTGATTGTCTTTAAATATCAATGCCAAAATCTAAATAATAATTTGGATAAGAATAGTATAGATCTAAACTAGTATACAGTAACAGTTGTGTACAATTTGTTGAGTTCCGACGAAGAGAGATTTAAATCCGTGCTAAAATGTGATATAATACGCAACTATAATGTTAAAATAACAATGGAATGCCACTTAATACTTAGTTGATATACCTTCTAAAAACACGTATATCACGATTATTAAAAAGCCGTATATCTCGTAACTGCATTAACACCAGTTATAAAACCTCGTAAGTGTCACACAGTGTTTTTTTTATTGAAAATTCTGATGCTCAGTTAATTTATCCAATATATCATAGACAAGGGAGTTTGTAATGTTGATTTTGCGATTATATAGCCCGTTTTAAATGAAATACAGTATTTTATTCGGTTCTTGGAAAGTTGATTTTTTTCAGTTACGAGGTTTTAGAAGACCGCCGACGATATCATAAAGATCAATGTTTATGCAGTCTTTTTCCAATAAAAAGGTCTGAATGTTCTCTTTCGAAACATTAAGTTTAAACGCAATTTGTAAATGTCACTGTATTATTTTCCAGTTAATATACTCATTATATTGTAGTTTCTGATTGTACACATTTAAAATGTCACTATAAATCTTTATTCATGCACATTTGAAACGTCACTGTACATCATACTCATTTTCTTCAAGTTAAAACCTTTACAGCTTGTAATTTCTGATAATTCACTTTTGAAACGTCACTATACATCTCAAGTTTTATATACCCTCTAATGGTAGTGTCAGAATGTTCACCTTTTTAAATGTCACGGTGTTACCTAATTATTATATCATTCAGTTGTAGTTGTTGGTTGTTCACTTTTGGAGCATCACTGTATTGTCTTAAAATATGAAAAACAAGATCAACAAGGAAAGGCGGCGTTCAATGAACGCAACCCCCCCCATGACCCAGCAACAAGAACCAATGGCAAGGAGCCCAGGCGGACCCCAAACATAAAAAGGACAGGGCAACGACACGTTAATCATTAAATGATAAATAATTTGTAACTGATTTGGAATTCAATATAAATTATATGTATTAAATTGTTCACGTTTG